CTTTGGGATCCCCCCGGGGTCTTTGGGATCCCCCCGGGGTCTTTGGGATCCCCCCGGGGTCTTTGGGATCCCCCCGGGGTCTATGTGACTCTTTGCGGAGAGAAAGTTTGACAACCTCCACGTGGTCTCTCCGGATGCGATTACACTCAACGGTGTATTCGTAACTAATGTCAAACGTTTGGTTAAAATTAAGGAATATAAAAATAACTGAGATGCTTAGTGCCTAGATTTTTGTATGTATTATTCTACACAACACACATACAGAGTTGCATGTATTCAACCAGTTATTGTTATATCATAGTCATAGACCATAGAATATCATAAAATTGCCATTGGATTTTTCATTTAAAGATACACCTAATTATAATCAAAATATCTATTAATTTATTTACACTTGCACTACCACAGCAATACTATATACTAAGATTTGTAACAATTCCTTTCTATATAATAATTTAATTTGTATTCATTTGTTATTTTCTATATATATATATATATAAATAAACAATACACTGATACGTTATATATCTGTATCAATAACTTATGTGTACCATTCTATATATTTGTAATGTAATTTTAATATGTTTTTTATATGTTATGTAAGTTTTTATGAACAACTTTAAAACCCTATTCAACATGTAATAAATCATTTAATTATTTTATTATATAAATTTGTACTATTACAACAACTAATTAGTTGTTAATTTATTTACTCTCAGGCATGGCACTAGAATTGTTTTCCACAGGGTGGCAGAGTGGTGCAAATATTTTTTTTTAAATGAGCTAAGGTTTTTTCAACAGATACGGAGGTTATTTTATTTTTAAAAATAATAAAAAGTAATAATAATATACCTATGATGTATATTATAGTACACACGTTTCTATATTGTATGCTCTAAAAGTCTAAACAGATAATATTTACAAACTTTTCAATAGTTAAAAATGTTTTAAGAATAATGTCTAATATTTTCTATGTGTCTTGTGGAAGAAAATGTTTAATCACACAGTTGGCAAAAATTTCAAAACATATTTCATTGACATTGTAGTAAATTATTTCCTTAGTAGACAAATTAATAAATTCAATTTATTCCTCAATTTTGTTTAGTAGTGACAAATATATTAAATAAATAATTGATATTTTAAACAACCTGTTTATGCACCATATAGTAAATGATTGAAAATGTTGTTAAACAAAAAAAGTAAGTTCAGTTTGTATTATTTTTTTTTTTTTGTATACATTATACACTGCAAGCATAATGTGTTGTTTGTATTTAACTACCAACTAAATAAAATACCTGTTAATTTATAAATTTTGTATACAATGCTATGAGTATTTTTTAAAGTAATAATTCTATTAATCAGATTTAGGTCCATTATTATTGTTTTCTTTTTCTTATTTTTAATAAAAAGAGAGCAAAAATGTTCACATAGCTTTCTACCACTTATTTTTACATTCTACTGTAGTGTGTTTTCATAACTTTGTTACCAGAAACACTTCATCGCAATGTTCTTAAGAACAATATCACCAATACCAAATTACATAATACACATTTCAAAATTCACCATTTAAGTTTAAGTACAGATATATTACACATTATGTTATTGTGTCTGTGTATAATCTGTTATACCTCTGATACAGGGAACAAACTATTACATATTAAAAGAACAAGACAAAAATTTGAAAAAAAAAAATTTTATTCATCTGCATCTGAAAACCGTAAAATACAAGTTAAAAAACCTATGTAACAAACCATGAAATTCAATGAATATTGTCCAACTGAAACTTACTGTGACTTGACACCTCTCTGCTCCCCTACAATTTATAAAATTGTTATTGTCATGATTAGTTTATTCACAAGCAACTATTCATAGGCAGAAATTGGGGGGGGGGGGCTTGAGGGGGCTTAGCCCCTCAAAACGTACAAACAGAAAAATTAGCCCCCTCAAAAATAATTTAAGTAAAATATAGACTTTCAATTAAATATTGTTGCAATGCAAATAAAAAAAAAAAATTGGAAAAAATATCTGGTGTGTTCGTATTTCTGTTCAATTACCAAAGCTCATAGCATAATAAGATTTAAAGTAGATAAATCACAGCCAGTTTAATCTGGTGTTATGGTTCTACCACAGAATATTATTATAATATATTATGTTATTATGTAATTGTCATTTTAAAGAAATTATAATATATTATGTTATTATGTAATTGTCATTTTAAAGAAAAGGTTTTCAACTGATAGTCTTCAATCTTCAAATGGCTGAAGCTGTCAACAATTTCATCAAATTAGATTTTAATAGAGTGATTTTTTATAAGGTTAATATAAGGTAATTTTAGTTTAAAAACTTGCTATCAAAATCGAATATTACTGAATTAATAAATAATATGACATGTGGGTTCAAAATAGAATTTTTATAATTTATTTATTTTATATATTGTAAGTTATTCTTATTATGCTATTACTATATGAAAGATAATTGTTTATTGTCAAGAGCTATTGGATGTAAAAACTAAAAAGTATAAGTGTTCAATCAGAAATGTACGTTGTGAAAAACTATATACATTTTTCAACTGGCAAAAGCTGTAATACTTTAGAAGATTTTACTTCAGTAGGTACTTCCTAATGATTTATATATCCAAACATATATAATCTTATGCCAGTTTCACTTACTTTCCCCATAAGTTCATCTACATGTTGTGAATATAGTTTTTCGGCAATGAGAAGAATGAAAACATGGTTGAGGTCATCTATATTGCAAAATAGATTCAACAATTTAGGTATCATTAGTATAGAAAAGATATTTCCGAAACAATTGATAGAGAAATCATACTGGTCCATTTGCAAAAAAAATAGATATATTATTTTAAAATAAATATTTACCTGATAACTAGATAACAAGGTTGTTACTGTAAATTAATATTTAATAATTTTGTTTTTCTTTAAAATTTGTATAACTTATGTTATCTTTCTTATATATTTAAAGTTAAAATTCAAGTATATGAACGAGTAAATGTTTGACACTTATATAGTATGTTTAAAATAAATCATGCTTAGTTTTGGATGGTGTTTACAGCAATATTATATTTTCAAGTGCTAAGAAAGGCGTCGATATGCAGTAAAGTATTTTTTAAATATTAGCCCCCTCTAAAATTATGGCAAATTTCCGCCTATGCAACTATTAGAAATGTATATTAATGTACTTACTTCAGAGTGAACTGTCACCATGGACATGTCCTTTGTGACAATGTCCATGGTGCCGTCGGTTTCTTCCCCTGTTTGGGGTGTCGCTGTCGGCGGGGTTGGTGTTTGCGGTGGTGGTGGTGGTAGTGGCGGTGGTGGTGGTCCCTTCCCACGGCGGGTAGTAGTGTCTAAAAAAATTATAAAAGTTAATAATAGAATACGCAATAAGTTATCGTGATTCAACATAACACACACTCACCCGGACAATCGACAATTAGGTGTCCGGTTTTACGACACCTGTAGCACCCTGAAACACAAATTAGGCGATACACCTTTTAGTATTAGTTACTCTAAAATTTGTATTTTGTATACATCTACTTACTTCTTTTATTTTTTTGTTTTTGCAAACGCTTCCGGACCCTGCCGGAAGCGTTCCCCATCGCGCCGTGCTCGCGGCGGTGGTATACAGGTGCATTATACACCTGTATACCACTCGCGCTATAGTTGTTGATTTGTTTTGTTACTTTCATTCTAAAAATAAACAATGACACCAATTAATATTAAAATTAGTCATTTTTGCTGACACTATGCCACTGTTGTGCCGTGACGGGTTGGCCATGTACAACTAATTATCAAAATGTCACGAGGCGGTTTTCGAACATTAGTAATGAGTTAACGAATACAATTTTGCAAAAAAAACAAAATCAGACACGTGGCCAACAGTAATCAATAATCATAGAGTATTAGCATTGATTATCGATAGTGTGCTGTTAGTTCTACAGTAAATAAATTAATTTATCATTGGACTAAATACTAAGGAGATTATCTATGTTCTCTCAATCGACTTTTTACGATATTTAAATTTTTAAGCGAGTTATGACAGTTGTGTCAAATAGGATAAGACAATGATGCACAGATAATAGCTAATAGGTCAATTCACTCGATCACAACAAACAGCACACTATTTACAGTGGTAAAATAAAAATGCATTAAAAGGTAGTTTGAACATAAATCATATTTCACCCGCAGAAATAAAACATAATATAATGAAAAAATATAAATATATAGGTAATTATAAAAAAGTTACGGGAAGGTTAGTGAATATTGGTAGTGAATTAACCAACACAATTATACACAAATTAGACATGTGCCAAAAACAAAATCAGAACACATGGCGTACAGTAATCATAGAATATTAGGTATAGTTAATTCAACAAAAGCTTGAGTTTTCAAACACATAATATCCTACAGACGTGCTGCGATCCAGTTAAGAAGATACCCGCATAATATTATGTTGTCTCCGTCTTACACATGTGCGATATAGTTAATTTTCGTTCGACGGTTTCAATAGTGTGCTATATATTAGTTTTACGGTGAACTCAACTATTAGTATTATTAATTGAAAATTGAAAACTAATATAAGAAGATAATCTGTGTCCTCTCGATCGATTTTTTACGACATTTTAATTTTTAAACGAACTATGTGTATGTGTAATGCAAAATATAAAATAATAATAATGTACAGATATAATTTCCTAAAATATTTATAAAAATTATAAAAACCAATTACAAACAGCGCACTATTTAATCTGGTCAACTAAAATTTACTACGGAATGCCAATGATAGCACTGTTTCGATATTCTAACAACATTAATTGATTATCAACTTTACCTTCATCCGATCTTTTAAGTATTGATTTCGCAATACTTACACCTTTCTCCGCAAGTCCGTTAGATTTTTGGTATCTAGGGCTTGACGTAGTTATAACAAATTCACAATCAGTCGCAAAATTCTGAAATTCATTAGAATTAAATGGCATATTATCTGCCACGAGTTGCTTTGGAATCCCATTGTTTGAACTTCCCGCCGCTTTCGGTGCAACATTTGGCAACCGGTCCGCGAGACAGCGCACCGCGCGGCCCGCGGACGCCGGGCTTCAGCCAAATCGCCGCCGGCGACAAAAAGCCGTCTTTGCCGTGTGCTCGTTGCGTGCAGACCTGTCGTGCGTCTTTGCCGCACGCTCCATGCGAGCAGACCGTGATCGATACTATTTTAGCGACAAGTTCGCTGCCATCTTTAGCGACGAGTTCGCTGTCATTTCGCGACGGGTTCGCTGTCATTTCGCGACGAGTTCGCTGTCATTTCGCGACGAGTTCGTGGTCCGTGTAATCCGTGCGTTTATTCATTATTCATTTAGCGACGAGTTCGCTTCCATTGCGACCACCTCGTGGTCGTTATAGATCGTATACCCGCGAAGTTATAAACGTTAGGTACGGTGTGTTAGCCGACGGTCGTGTCCGCCATCGTGCTTGCGTTTCGCTATTATCATCATTCGTCTTCGACGTCGTTCCGATCATCGTCGACCTGTTTTCCGTTGTGCGACTGCTATTCATTGTCGCGTGTTCGCCGCCGACATTCGCGCCCGTTGTTATTACTTCGTGTCGGATCATCAGTTGTCGTCTGATTCCGACGGGCCATAATTCGTGCCGCGACCAGCAAGTCGGATATCGTTCGCCGTTGCTATTACCCTTGTGTGCGTAAGTCCCTCGTGCGACGCCGCCTTCATTGCCGTGATTACGTCACCGTGCGTCTTACAGAATCCTGTCGGAGCCGCCGTCAATAGCCGCCGCCGTCCCCCCGTTCACCTGCGTGTCATCACCATCGTCGCTGCGGCCGCTGCAGTCACCGTCGCCTCCGATACACCACCCCACCGCGGCGCATGTGCCGTACGGTATTTAATTATTATTGTCATTTGTCATTGTCATTTATTATTACCTATTCACACATGTACGTTCGTGTTGCAATAGATACCCATTATTATTATTACCACAACATTGGCGTTCTATTATTTATATCGGTCACCCTATCCACCCCAACTCGTGAACACCATTTTCTTTTATTTAAGTAGTTGCCCGGCCAAATGCTAGTGAATAGCCGGCAGCCCAAACATTTGCTAGCAGAGCGTGGTTATATTAGGTGTTCACGTTTGGTGTGGGTTCGGTAACGTGTGATTGAGACGTTAGTTGTGTTTTCCCTGGGTCTAGAGTGCAGTGCTTATCATAGGTATTCATTTAGCGACGAGTTCGCTGCTGTTTTAGCGACGAGTTCGCTGCCGTTGCGGTCAACCCCGATGCGTTGATATTCGTAGCACTAGCTAAGTCTAAGTTTAGTTCAGGTGAACCGCGTGCCAGTTATTGTAATATCTCCTATATAGGTATTTACAATACAATTATTATTACGCGTAAGCCGCGTCGGTCGCATTTTGATATCACCGACTTATCAATCTAATACTATAAAATGAAGAACAGCTGACTGATAATATAGGGGTCCAATCGAAAGCGAACCCTTGGCGTAAAAAATGAAGCACTGCTCCGTTTCCCCAACCCGCCGGCCGTGTCCCGTCGATTCCTTATAGCGCGACCAATCGCGTACCTTCGCAGTGGCGGCGGTCGGTTTTAAAACGTTTTTCGTTATCACCTCTTTTCCTATCATTTCGCCGATTTTCGGAAAATTAGCTGTTTTTACACGATATCTTTTCGCCCTTTTATATACTTAATTCGAAGCCACCGGTGTGCGGTTTATATTCGTGCAATGTCGATCAATAAATACACTCCCGACCGGACTTTTTTGCCGATTTTTTCCTTTTCTCCCTCCGTTTCGTCTATTCGCACAATCGCACCCGTTTGTGTCCGAATCGAGTCTTTTTGAAGCCGTGTATATGCGCTTTTCCCCCAAAATCGGTTCGTTCGCCTCGTAATCGCGTTTGGCAATTACGCCGGCGACCGACCAGCCGTACGCGTATATTACATGTATATACGTGTATAATTTAATTTTTCCTTATGATTTAATAATTATTAACGGAAAACGCTTTTCACACGCCCCGTTAAATATATATATGGGAGATGCGCGTATTACAAGCGAATTATATGCGATTACATCGATGTACATCGAATATATCGGTTTACGTCGCTCCGTAGTCGCACGGCTTAATTGTTGATGTTTTCACTATCTTTCATATCTCAAACTGTGTCCGAGTAGGTTAGGCGTTAGGTAGGAAACACGTAGGTCCCGGATTCGTATCCGTCGTACGCCGTCCGGGCATTGTAACCGTAAATGCCATATGGTTTACACGGCCGCCCGAATCCGGATTTTTTTTGCATTTTTTTTTCACGTTATTTTTCATATAAATTAAATAATAATATAATAATACAGGAACATATCGTACATTAATATTATTTAAAGTCATTATCATTTTATATCACACAATAAATAGATACATATTATATTTGTTTTATTAGGAATTATTATATAATTGCATATTTTTTAAAATTTCCATGATTGTTATATAAATATAGTTTGTATTTTATTTCGGTTTGCCTATCTAGGTGGCTAACTTGAAAGTTAATCTTGTTTTTGACTTGAGAGTTGTGTAATGGGATTACGCAATCTCATATATTTGCTCATAATAACAACCAGGAATGCGACCACACCCAAAAGTGTTTTCGACTACGAATACCACTTTCATATACGTGAGGTCCATATCAAGGACGACTATACACGCGCCGCTCACTTTCAAAGGACGCCGCCACCATATATATAGGGGACAGCGAGACAGCCAAAGTAGATGTACCAGAGCCGCCAAGACCGAGCGAGCCGTTTAGCCACCAGCCATTTCACACGACTTACATGGAGATTATCGACTACTACAACGAGTCAACTCACGACGCTGCAATTCACCACAACTACATTATTTATTATTGGTTTTAATAAAATACAATTGATTCATATTATAAATTGACTATATTTTATTGTAAAAGTGCAACAAGCTTTTGGATCCCTGAAGGGCCGCATGTAACACTGGCGCAGTCGATAAAGGATTCTACAAAGGGAGGCAGCCATCAAAGGCTACCGTCAACAAAGAAGAACTGTACACTCTTCCGAGAAGACAACTCCAAGAAGAACCATCAAAAACAAATAAGTCACATTGCAGTACCAACAAATCCATTAGCAGCATCATCAACGGCAACATGTCATCATCAGCCATGAACGCAGCATTATTGTGAGTGAATAGTTATTTAAATTTGTTACATAGACGTATGCAACATAATTAAGACATATTAAGATAAATCTAGGTAGTTGATTATAAGTGTAATGGTGTAAACCGTTTTAAATTTTATTGAGGGCATATTTTATTGATTATTATTGAAGTTTATTGAATTATTGAGGGCATATTGATTATTTGAAGTTTTATTATTGAGGGCATATTTTTATTGAAGTTATTATTGATTATTATTGAAGTTTATTGATTTATTGAGGGCATTTTTATTATTGAAGTATTATTGAAGTTTATTGAAATTATTAGAGGGCATATTATTGAAGTTATTATTGTATTTATAGGGCATTATTGAATTTTATTGAGTATTATTATGATTATTAACGTATTAAATAGGTGGTTAAGTTAATTTATGGACAAAGAAGATACATCTCCCTTGAACGTAGCTAATTCATTGTATGACACTAGTGTAGTAGAAGAAGCCCAGTTAGAAGCCCAGTTATTAGCCCAGAGAAGCCCAAGCCCAGTTTAAAGCCCAGTTGAATATTATAGTAGATACCCAGTTAGGAGATAGCGCAAGTAGAAACCCAAGTCCAGGAGTAATCACACGTAGCCAAGTTACAGATAGTTTTGAACACCAGTCATTAGTATTTTTACCTATAACACACACTAAAAAAAAAAAAAAAAAAATGACAGTAACCATAAAATTAGAAAACGCTTTTAAATTAATTCCACTATGCACAGGAATAGACGATATCTATCCATTCATAAATGCATGCGATATGGCAGTAAGTTTAGTCGACACAAACAGTGCACCAACGCTAGTAAAATATATTACCACACGTTTAACGGGTAGAGCATTAGAAATGATTAAATACAAAAATGTATCGAAATGGCAGTTTATAAAAAATTATTTAACAGATGCATTTGAGGTAACAACTACGGCATCGCCGTTACAACTTCAATTAAATTCGATTAGAATGAACCACGATGAGGATGTAAACGATTATTGCCATAGAGTAGAGAAACTATATTATCAGTTATGTACCGTAAGTACATTAGGCAAAGAACCTGCAGAAGCAAAAATTATATATGATATATTAAGGGAACAAACTCTAGCGATATTTATTAAAGGATTAGTAGAACCGATTAGAACAATAGTAAAATCTCGCAATGCTAAAACTCTGGAAATCGCGAAACAAATCGCCATGTCAGAACAAGTAGAACTAAGATTAGAACAGGAAAATAGAAACCATTATTCGAATATTCATTCACAAAATTATAACCAGCGCAGATCGAATTACGAAAATAGGAACAACGAAAACATTAGACCAAATAACCCTGTAAGGACAAATAATCATCCGCGAGCAAACAATTTTTCTCAACCAATCAATAGGCCAGCAATAAAATGCTATAATTGTAATGGTAATCATTTTGCATCTCAATGTAGGAATAATACGAGACCTAGTTATGCGAGCAATGGCAATAACAACCGTCCACCTGATAGGAATAATTTTACGCAACCACTTACGAATTATAATATACAGGTAGTTACGTGTTCATACTGTAATCGAACTGGTCATAATATCGACTCGTGTTATAAAAAGAGAAACGATGAGAGTAGGAACGTTAATAATTCGGAAAACGAAAACGTGTCGAACGAGAGGCGCGGTACTCGTACGATAAACCAGATTATCGCGGAACAACCGACGAACGAATATTTCACATATTCGCAAAACTAGAAAATAATCATATAACATTCGATTCTAATGCCGCAAAAACAAAACAATTACATTTAATGATAGATACAGGTAGTCAGGTAAATATTCTCAAAATAAATTGCTTACGCGAAGAACTAGAAGTAGACGAAACGCAAAAAATAAATCTACGCGGTATAAATGAATGTCTTACAAAAACCATAGGGAAAATATCAATATTAATTAAATTAAATAGCGAAAACATTAAAACAGAATTTCATATCGTAAGTGCACGATTTCCAATACCCAAGGACGGAATATTAGGAAACGAGTTCTTGTCGAAAAATAACGCAATAGTCGATGTAGCAAA